CAGAGAGGGCCATATTGCACCGTCCATTATGGTCAGTGGCCCAGGGCCTCAGTTTAGGACTCTGTGCCCTACTCGATTCACAGCAGAACACCCACTGCTCTCCATAGGACACCCACGTACAAAGAACAAGGGGAGAATCTGCCCTTCATATCGGAAATAAAATTTTACTTCTTATTCTTTTGCGAAGTCTTTGTCTGTCACACTCAGTGTCACTCAGGAGGAAAACAGCCCGCTCCCGGACACCCCTGTAGGGCCCTGCTAGTTCTTCCCTGTGTTTTCTTTCCTTTCCCATCCTGCTTTCTCCATTTCTCTCTTGTTCCTTGTCCTTGTATCTCGCCTCTGTTCTTCCCTCCCCACAGAAACCCCCTATTCCCACCCCACAAAGGCTTCACTCCCACCCTTCCCCATTCCACCTGCTTGAGTGATCAGCCAGGGAACATTGAATGTTGACATCAAAGTGTTGCCATTTCAGTTGACACCCCGATTACATTAACAGGGGACAGGAGAGTTCACACTCAGAGCTATGGCTTCAGGCTGCTGGCAGCCCCAGCAAGGCAACACTGTCTCCATTTACACTGGGGAGGTGCTTGAGGGCCACCAACTCACTTTAAAAAATGTGAAAGCTGAGATTCTGCGCCCTCTGAATATGTGACGTGGCCACATCAGTCCAGGAGACAGGCCAGGTCTGTCCCATCGGCCCTATGTCTAGCAGCCCAGCTGTGACCGCATCAGCGATCAGACAGTAATGGCTCTTCTCCTACCTGAGTCAGCCACTAGGGGAGACAGAATCACAAGCTCCAAGGGCAGGGGGCAGCTTCCTATTCAGTGCAGTTATCAAACCTAACGACCCATGAGGGCAGGGCTGGCTCCAGGGTTTTGGCCGCCCCAATCAGCCAAAAAAAAAAAAAAGCCGCGATCACGATCTGCGGCGGCAATTCGGCGGGAGGTCCTTCGCTCCGAGCGGGAGTGAGGGACCGTCTGCCGAATTGCCACCAAATAGCTGGACGTGCTGCCCCCCTCCGGAGTGGCCGCCCCAAGCACCTGCTTGCCAGGTTGGTGCCTGGAGCCGGCCCTGCATGAGGGGGAGGGAAATGGAGCCCAGGACTTACCTGTCCCCAGTGCTCCCAGCACCCTAAAGAGGGAGAGAAAGAGGAGGCAGTCAGTGGGAGTGTCCCTGGGTGGGGCGGTCTCCTGCTCTGCAGGGGAGTCACCATTGAAGCCTCGGGCAGTAGGGGAATCTCAGGTTTACATTCCCAGAGCAGCTGCCGCCCCCTACCAGGGACTTTCCCCTATGCAGCCCCAGCAATCCCTGCGGGCAGGTCGCCACTGCGGGAATCTTCTCCCGGGCACTTTACAGGCAGAAGATATTTCTCTGCATTGAGAATCAAATTCCCCCCAGTGCTGAGAGACCCAGAAGGCCCCTGGCCCCACTAAACCCATTAACCTGCAGTGAGAGGGGCCTTAGGCCTTGCTTGGGACCTCAGCATGGCGGGGGAGGGGATTTCACCCTCCAAGTGCAAATGCAGACAGACATTTCCAGGAGAGAAGGTCTTGGGGCTGCAGCATCCAGGACTCCCAGGACCCATCCCTGGCGCCACTGCCAGACTCACTGTGTGACCTTGGGCAGGGCTCTGCCCCTCCCTCTGCCTCACTTTCCCCAATTGTCCCATAGGGATAATGCCCCTGACCCTACTTTGTAAAGTGCTTTGGGGTCTAGGGCTCAGAAGCGCCTATAGAAACGCTGCGTATGATCATTGCAATAACAGCCTGACCTGCAGGGGTTGGCTCAGCGGGTGCTGTCCCTTCTCTCCTCCCCTCTCACTGAGCAGGGAAACCTCCCAGGACAGGCTGCAGATGCCCTCATCCCTTCTCTGGACAATGGCTCTCTCTAGCTCTTCCAGCCGGGACAGCAGCTGCTGCTCCTGGTCCTCCAGAAACCCTTGCAGCTCCTTCCACTCCCAGACGATCTTCTGCCTCTCGGCTTCTGTCTGTTTCTGCAACAGGGAGAGGGCAGCTCGGTAACAGAGGAACATAGAACATAAGAACGGACATACTGGGTCAGACCAATGGTCCATCTAGCCCAGTGTCCTGTCTTTTGACAGTGGCCAATGCCAGGTGCCCCAGAGGAAATGAACAGAACAGGTAATGATCAAGTGATCCATCCCCTGTCGCCCATTCCCAGCTTCTGGCAAACAGAGGCTAGGGACACCATCCCTGCCCATCCTGGCCAATAGCCACTGATAGACCTATCCTCCATGAAATTATCTAGTTCTCTTTTGAACCCAGTAAGTGTCTTGGCCTTCACAACATCCTTTGGCAAGGAGTTCCACAGGTTGACTATGTGTTGTGTGAAGAAATACTTCCTTTTGTTTGTTTTAAACCTGCTGCCTATTCATTTCACTGGGTGACTCCTAGTTCCTGTGTTATGAGAAGGAGTAAATAACACTTCCTTATTTACTTTCACCTCACAAGTCATGATTTTATAGATCTCTACCATACCCCCCCTTAGTTGTCTTTTTTCCAAGTTGAACAGTCTCAGGCTTTGTCTAAACTGGCACTTCTCTCCTGCCAACAAACAGCAGCTACACTGCACGCCTGTTAGCAGCACAGCTGTAGAGGCACAACCGTGTTGCTAAAAGTTGTGTAGTGTAGCCATAGCCTCAGTCTTATTAATCTCGCCTCATACGGAAGCTGTTCCGTACCCTTCATCGTTTTGTTGCTATTTTCTGTACCTTTTCCAATTCCAATATATCTTTTTTGAGATGGGGTGACCAGATCTGCATACAGTATTCAAGATGTGGGTGTACCATGGATTTATATAGAGGCAATATGATATTTTCTGTCTTATCTATCCCTTTCTTAATGATTCCCAACATTCTGTTCACTTTATTGACTGCTGCTGCACAGGGCTGAGTTTAAGCCAATTCGGCCGATTCCCCAGAATGGGGCCCCGCGCCTAAGAGGGCCCCGCAACGACCAGGGCTGCCGGCAGAGTGGAGAAAAAACAAACAAAACAAAAAAAACGCGTCCTGCTTCTCCCCCCTCCCTCCAGTGCTTGCGCTGCCATACAGCTGATCAGCGCAAGCCTGGGAGGGAGGGGGGAGGAGGAGGAATGCGACGTGCTGTGGAAGAGGCGGGGCCAGGGCGGGGATTTGGGGAGGGATCCAATGGGGCGGGGCTGGGGTGGGGCCAGGGCGGGCTTTTGGGGAGGGATCCAATGGGGCAGGGAGGGGCGGAGTCGGGGCGGGGTCGGGGCGGAGTTGGGGGGCGCAAGACAATTCGCGTCCCAGCATGGGGCCCCGCACCTGCTAAAGTCGGCCCTGCTGCTGCACATTGAGTGGATGTTTCCAGAGAACTATCCACAATGACTCCAAAATCTCTTTCTTGAGTGGTAACAGCTAATTTAGACTCCATCATTTTATGTGTATTTGATATTATCTTTTCAAATGTTCATTACTTTGCATTTATCAAAATTGAAATTCATCTGCTCGGTACCTGGGGGAAATCATAAATGCACCTCGGGGCAGGTGGCAGAGTTATTTACCAGAACACAAGATCTCTTGCAGTGAGTGATGGGAAGTTCATTTATCCCGGGAAGGGAGGAGGGCTCAGGGCCGGGGTGAGCTGTACATCACCTACAGGAGGGACACTTCTCCCCAAAACCTCATCAACTTGCACTGAGCGAAATCCTCCATCTCTGCAGCCCACACGTCATCTCCTTCCTCCCCATTCCCTCTAGGAGCTAGACAGGGACACCCAGTGGATTCAGGGGGGCTGGGGTCCTCAGCGGCGGGGGTCCTTCCACTCTGAGTCTTCGGGGCAATTCGGCGGCGGGTCCCGGAGCAAGTGAAGGACTCGCTGCTGAATTGCCACCGAAGACCCGGAGCGGAAGGGGCCCTCACCGCCGAATTGCCGCTGAAGACCCGGAGTGGAAGAAGCTCTGGGTCTTTGGCAGAGGGTCCTTCACTCGCTCCGGGTGTGTTCAACGGCACTGAAGGACCTGCTGCCGAAGACCCGCTGAAAACTCTTGTGGGGGCCCCTGAAAACTCTCGTGGGGGCCCCTGTGGGGCCCGGGGCAAATTGCCCCACTTGTCCCCCCCGGGCGGCCCTGGAGCTAGAAAGGATCCCTGGTCACTGTGACATCCCAACGGCCTGTGGGCAGTGTCTCTCGGCTTACACATAAGAACATAAGAACGTCCATACCGGGTCAGACTAAAGGTCCATCTAGCCCAGTATCCTGTCTACTGACAGTGGCCAATGCCAGGTGCCCCAGAGGGAGTGGACCTAACAGGCAATGATCAAGTGATCTCTCTCCTGCCATCCATCTCCATCCTCTGACAAACAGAGGCTAGGGACACCATTCCTTACCCATCCTGGCTAATAGCCATTAATGGACTTAACCACCATGAATTTATCCAGTTCTCTTTTAAATGCTGTTATAGTCCTAGCTTTCACAACCTCCTCAGGTAAGGAGTTCCACAAGTTGACTGTGCGCTGCGTGAAGAAGAACTGCCTTGTATTTGTTTTAAACCTGCTGCCTATTAATTTCATTTGGTGACCCCTAGTTCTTGTATTATGGGAATAAGTAAATAACTTTTCCTTATCCACTTTCTCCACATCACTCATGATTTTATATACCTCTATCATATCCCCCCTTAGTCTCCTCTTTTCCAAGCTGAAGAGTCCTAGCCTCTTTAATCTCTCCTCATAGGGGACCCGTTCCAAACCCCTAATCATTTTAGTTGCCCTTTTCTGAACCTTTTCTAGTGCCAGTATATCTTTTTTTAGATGAGGAGACCACATCTGTACGCAGTATTCGAGATGTGGGCGTACCATCGATTTATATAAGGGCAATAATATATTCTCAGTCTTATTCTCTATCCCCTTTTTAATGATCCCTAACATCCTGTTTGCTTTTTTGACCGCCTCCGCACACTGCGTGGACATCTTCAGAGAACTATCCACGATGACTCCGAGATCTTTTTCCTGACTTGTTGAAGCTAAATTAGCACCCATCATATTGTATGTATAGTTGGTGTTATTTTTTCCAATGTGCATTACTTTACATTTATCCACATTAAATTTCATTTGCCATTTTGTTGCCCAATCACTTAGTTTTGTGAGATCTTTTTGAAGTTCTTCACAGTCTGCTTTGGTCTTAACTATCTTGAGCAGTTTAGTATCATCTGCAAACTTTGACACCTCACTATTTACCCCTTTCTCCAGATCATTTATAAATAAGTTGAATAGGATTGGTCCGAGGACTGACCCTTGGGGAACACCACTAGTTACCCCTCTCCATTCTGAGAATTTACCATTAATTCCTACCCTTTGTTCCTGATCTTTTAACCAGTTCTCAATCCATGAAAGGACCTTCCCTTTTATCCCATGACAACTTTGGTGAGGGACCTGGTCAAAGGCTTTCTGGAAATCTAAGTACACTATGTCCACTGGATCCCCCTTGTCCACATGTTTGTTGACCCCTTCAAAGAACTCTAATAGATTAGTAAGACACAATTTCCCTTTACAGAAACCATGTTGACTACTGCTCAACAGTTTATGTTTTTCTATGTGTCTGACAATTTTATTCTTAACTATTGTTTCGACTAATTTGCCTGGTACCGACGTTAGACTTACCGGTCTGTAATTGCCGGGATCACCTCTACAGCCCTTTTTAAATATTGGCGTTACATTAGCTAACTTCCAGTCATTGGGTACAGAAGCCGATTTAAAGGACAGGTTACGAATCTTAGTTAACAGTTCCGCAGACACAGACTGACCTTCTCCTGCCCAGCAGCCTCCTGCATCCTAAGGGCATCATGTTACCCATGTATCTGACCCTGCAGGCTCCCTGGGCTCCAGTGGGGATGGTTCCCTGGCTGAGGTGGGCAGGGTGGGCCCTGCATTCACCATGTCATTCTTATGCCAGGCAAACCTAAGTGGTGGGGGGCTCTGGGCACCTACCAGCAGCTCCTTGCTTTGCCGCTCCTCCTCGGCTTTGGCTGCTTCTCTCTCTTTTCCCAGAGGGGCCAGATGCTTTTGTGGTACCTCCTGGAAGAAGCAGGGGAGGGAGGGTTAGAAACTGCTGCAAAGGGCCTCCTAGCTGTCAGATTTCAGGGCCCATCCTACCCTGCAGACTCCTGTGCAGAGTCCTGGGACTCAGACTGAGAGGAGAGGGTGAAACAGGGAACAGCTTTTCCAGAGAAAACGCAGGGTCCCAGGCTGCAGTGACAGGAGTGCAGCCCCACCCACATCCCAAACAGCCAACTTCAGACAGTCCCCCACTTTCCCCAGTTCCAGCCCCCAAAGCTCCCGCAGGGCCAGATCTGAACATGGAGCCCCTAAACATACCCCAATCCCCAGCCCTGACCCCCCAGCACATCCCAAACTCCCAGCTCCCAGCAGCCCCACAGTCCCCAGCACCAGCCGCTCCTCCCACCCCACAGCTCGGCTCTGACACCTCAGATCCACCCCCCAGCTCCCCCAGCCCCTCGCTCCCGGGCCCAGCCTGGGCTCCGAGCTCTGCAGCCGAGCCGCGCTCCGGGCCCCTCCTGCAGCTCCCGGCCCAGCCGCTCCCGGGCTCTGTCGCCCCGGCCCCGCAGCAGGGGCTGCTCCGCTCTGCCCCGCCCGGGACACTCGCCCCCCGCAGCCCCGGGAGCCCCTCTCCGGCCGCGGGGAGCTCGGGGACCCACCCGGGCAGGGGGCGAACCAGGCAGCCGGGCCCGGCCCCTCCCGGCAGGAGCGTGTCCGCCCCACGCGTGTCTCCTCCCCCCCCGGCCCTGCCCGCTCCGCACTGCCCCCGGACTCACCGCGCTGCCCCGCGGGCTGCAGGGCTGGAGCAGCCTCCGCGCTGCGCTCCCGGCCCCGGCCATGG